GGGGCGGGGGGGGGGGGGGGGGGGGGGGGGGGGGGGGGGGGGGAAGAGGGAGGAGAGAGTCCCCGAGTAAAACGTTTCACATATGAAAATAGGTGTATACCATTTACATTTTGTATCCCCCTATCACAATATACTGTCTAAGATAAAGGTTGTGGTTTGATATGTACAATATATTTCATGTATATGTATATATGTTTTGTAGGGTGCCTCTGTCAAACGCGGTATCATCCGAACATGCATCTGGTTGTAGAAACGGTGCGAGTTTGTTCCGCGGTACGTTCTCAAATAGTCGAGTGACGCCATTTAGCCGAGACAGGCGTGTATCGTCCGCAGGATGGTCCATTTCACTCGATCCAGATGGTCGCAAACCATCCGGAGGTCTCCGCGACACTCGAACCTGACACGTCCGACTCTCGTACCCTCTTTGCACGAACTATTCTCAGCCGACGCTCTGTAATCGAGTCAAATGATCCATTCCCAGCGAATCACGTTTGCAGTATTCTCCTTCATCTTCATGGGACAGACGTTCTACGGCTTTGTACAGGTTCAAGAGCCTCTAAATGCAGCACTTGGATCGCGTTTGATTTTCTCAGTCTATGTGTAACCACGGGTCCTTCGACGCTCGACTCTCACCACGGCGGTGTAAGATGTGTCTACGAATGATAATTGACAAACAGCAGTCGACAGACGGCTAGAGTTGGTGGGCAGAGAAACGTTTGAACGATTTCGTCGAGCCGAGCGAAGTATCGGAGGCCACGCGAGACAACAGCACATCGAGTTGGAGGACAGCGAGCACGGTTTCTCGTCTCTGTGGGACCCTCTCTCTCTCTCTCTCTCCCTCTCTCTCCCCCCGCCCCCGAGCTCTCCGTCGTTGTCGCCAACCTAGGGAAACCGAAAACGAGGGCGTAGAGCACAGTAGTAAACTGTATGTACAGTGTGTCGTTTATACGCTATTTACACGTAACAATATAGAAAAAGAGTGTTACAATGATCGACGGACCGTGGATCTCTGCGACTTCGTTCCAGCATCCGTGCATTCATTTTAGTAGACGAACCGCGATGTACGCGCAGAGAGCTGCGCGGTCGAATGAGAATTTAAAAAATGAATCGTTCTGCCAGGTGATAGAGACGAGAAAGGGGGGGGGGGGCAGTGTGCTCGTAGCAGCGTGCAGCCGATGCGCATCGCCGTCAGCTTGACCCGACGATTCCCGGCGCGTCCAGCCCCGAGAAGAGGGTTTAAGATCATTGAACAAAGTTCACGTTGAAGGTGCCCACTTCCATGGCCTTGAGGCCGACCTCCTGCAGACCGTCGTTCAATCTCTGCAATGTCTTGGTTCCGGTCAGTGTGGTCTGGGTGACGTTCAGGTTGGCCAGCTTGAAGAACGACGTTCCCTGGGTGATCTTGTCCGACATGGGACAGTGTTTCAAGGCGACGTCGACGCCGACGGAGCAGCTGTAGCCCTGTCTGTGCAGCACCATCAGCGCGCTGTTCACCGGAAAGTTCGGCAGCTTCTGGTCGTGATTGGTCCTCAGGTTCAGAAGGTGAAGGTCGCACGGGAAGCTCTGGCTGAGCAGCCGGACCTCCGGGGCCATGCCGATCTCGGCCTCGGTCCCGTCCACCACGAACATGTTCACCGGGTAGTTGAGCGCGTTGCTCAGGTGGTTGGCGAACAAGGAGGGCTTCGAGTGCTTCTCCTTCTCGCCGGCAGCGATGTCCTCGAGCAACAGCCAGTGCTTGATCACGGTCCTGCGGTTGTCCAGCAAGCCTTCGCCCATTCCCCGCGAATCGTCGTACAGGGTCCTTCTGTCGAGCATCACCTCGAGCCATCCGGGCTGATAGCTGGCAGCTCCTTGGCAGTGGTTCACCAGCAGGGTCAGCCTGTGGCTGGTGTCCTCGATGTAGGCCATGGTGGTGATGGGGAAGTAGTTGCCCTCTATGCCGATTCTCTCGATCTTGGTGCGCTTGATCATCTGGTGGCCGTTCAGATCGGTGAAGAACTCCGGCGGGTCGCCGTTCAGTATATCCGTCTGCAGCCGCATGAACATCTCCGTTTCTCGGTTTTTCGGCGGGGTCTCGAAGTCGACGATGTTCCTCAGGTATATAGCCTCCGCCAGTCCGCCGTCCCTGTGATAAATGGCCACATGGTGAGTCAACAGTTTACCGTATTCGACGGTCAGCCGGGAGCTCAGGGTGCCGCTGACGATGTAGATCTTCTGGTGGGGCGTGTAAGCCTCGAGCACGTCCTTGTCGGTGTCTCGGAGATTCGGGTCCGGCATGAAGAGGTACGCGCCGCTATGGAACTGCGCGGACGTGTACGCGGCGAACTGTATCGCGCACTGCATGATCTTGCCGGTCGGTTTCTTGGTGACTCTCTTCAGGAACCCGGTCTGGCCGTCGAACAGCAGCTTCATCCTCTGGTTCTCGAGCTGAACGTCGCCCACCTGCATCGGCTTCACGGGGAACACGTTGTCCTTGCCGCAACGGCTGCAGTAGACCGTCGAGATCGCTTCGACCGGCACCTTCTCGATCTGCTGCAGGTGGTAGGTGACCACGGCCAGAGGCTTCAGCTCCACCACGAACAGCAGCACGTAGACGTCGTGGGTGATGCTCGTGGCGTTCATCACCGGAGCGATCTGATAGGGGATCGGATTCTTTCGCGGGTCCAGCACTCTGATCTTGTAGGAGGTCACCTTCAGGCTGATCACCTCCTGCCTCGGCTGCGCCAGAGGATTGAACAGAACGATCCTCTTGGTCTCCTGACCGGTGACACCGATCGGTATCTTCTTCGGCAGCTTCTCGTAGCTGTCCCTGTCCGACTCGGCCAACACGTAGACGGAGTTTTGTTTGGTGGTGGTCCCGGCCAGCGACTGGATCACGAAGCTCTGCAGGCTGGTGGTATCGGAAATCGATTCGAACAGCTTCAAAGCGTAATCCTTCATGACGAACGACTTCGAGGTGCCTGTAATGGCGTCGTGGTGCTGGAACAGGCCCAGGTTTCGCCTGGCCTTGACCAGCTTCTCGAAGTAGGTCTCGTAGAGCACGAAGTCCTTGCCGGACTGCTTCGCCACGTTCAACGCGATCGTGTACAGAATCTCGGCCGATCGGAGGTTCGCCTCCAGCTCCCGGTCCAGGATCTTCATGTACGGTCTCGTGGTGAAGTAGCCGCTCCAGTAGGCCGGCCTGCCCTCGCTGAAGATGTCCGAGTAGACGAAGAAGTCGCCCTGCAGCGTCGGGAACGTCGCCACGCGCTTTCTGATCTCGCGGAAGTAATCCCTCGGCGTGCCGAACACTATCTCCGCGTTGTACTCCTCCCGGCGACTGTTTATATAGTCCATCAGGATCTTGTAGTTGGTGTACTGCTGGTCCCACTCCACCGCGTGGTCGTACCTGAAATTCGAAACTCGTTAGAGAATCCGAGTCTCTAAGGCTAACAGCTTAATTTCTAATATTCGAGAGAGAGACTACGTTCCGATGATGGAAACTCTACGGACTAAAGTCCTCTCGGAGGAACCGACTCTCAACGCTCCGAGCATCCCGCCGAACCTACCCTTCCTCCTAGACGAAACAATATTTCTGACTCAATATTTCTACTTGGGATGGAGCTGCCGTAGCGAAAGGGTTCAATCGAGACGACCAGCTTCTCGGTAGGTTCGGCGTTGGTCGAAAGCTTAGGAATACGTCGGCTGACCGAAAGTCATCTCCCAGGGGCATCAGGACGACGTTGTGCGAGAACAGGGAGCCCGTGCGAGAGTACTGTTCCAGAAGCAGCTCGGCCATCGGCTTCACGTTGTTGGGCGTGATCTCGACCGCTCTGACCGAGTACTCGGTGTACTCGCCCCGGATCTTCCGGAAATCGAAGTTGAGGCAGACGTGGGGGTGAGGACCGCACGAATGCTTGATGTTGTAGATGTCGAAGGGCTGGTTGTGGGTGAGCATGTCCGCCTCGCCGGTCTGGTCCCACGGTTGCAGCCACACGAAGTCGCCGTATTGTTTCTTCGCGAACCACTGCTTCCACGCGTAATGGATCCTCTGGATCACGGTGCCGGAAGCTCCCGACGCCTTCAGGAAATAAGGGATGGTGCCCCCGTGGCCGAACGGGTCCACGGACCAGCCGGACTCTGGGACCACGTCCAGGTTCGTCTTCAGCCACTGATGACCTGAAAGCAACGCGCGTCGTTTCATTAACACGTTCGTCGCGTATATTTCTCGTCCCCGCGGCGTTCCAACCAATAAATTCGACCAATCTCCAATCCTAGGAAATCTCTCGATCTTCTCGCGTTCGACGCAACGGAGAGAGGAGAGATTCCCATCGACGTTATTTCCTTCGAAGCTAGCACAGACTCCTCGCCCGAGAATCGTCTTCGCGGCATTCTCCGCGTTGGATCGCGTTGAATCGCGTTGAATCGCGTCTCATTCGAGCGCGTTCAGCGTTCGGAGAACTCGCGCTCCGGCGACTCTTTTCGAGCGATCTCCGTCTCCGTCTTCGCGGCCGTTAAGACAAAGCTTCTCGTTAAATTCGAGGACGGAAAGCCGGCCATCGCGCGATCGCGGAATATTTATCGCGGGGTAAATAATGCTCCGCGGACGTTCATTTAAACGGACACGGTTCGCGGAACAACCTTTTGGAAGAAAATACGCGCACCGTCGCCGCGTCGCATTTTCCGCGGGAAAGTTCGCAGCTTCGATATTCCGGGACCGTTGAAAATACGTCGAAGTTTTCGGGACAAATGGTCGAAAGCTTCTGGAAAATTCGCAACGGTGGCCGAAGAGAGAGAGAGAGAGAGAGAGAGAGAGAGAGAGAGAGAGAGAGAGAGAGAGAGAGAGAGCGGGGCG